CCCGCCAGTGGGCTGCAGGGGCTCGCAGGGGAGGCCAAGTCCACACAGCCCCGGCCCGGGCCGCCCGCTCCGCAGCAGCGCCGGCCGCCTCTCTCCGCTCCGGCCCCGCCCCCGCCCCCGGCTGCCTGGCTGAGCCGCAGTGGTGGCAGCGCAGGGCTTGGGGGGGGGCTTGGTGACAGGGCTGCCTCCTCCTCCCTCTCCTGGTTGCCGCAGCGCTCGCGTCGTCTGAGATTTCCATCGAGGCCGGGGGGCGGGCCCAGGGCCGGGCGCGAGGGCTGGGGCGGGGCGAGGGGAGGAGCGAAAGTTGAGGCGCAGCAAAACCCGCCAGGGGCGAGCCGCGAGCGGCCAGACCGCGCGCCGCGACCTCCGCACAGGTGGTCGCGCCGGTCCCCTCCGCGATGTTGCTCAAAGTTCTCGTGTTCCTCCTGCACATATTTCTCATCATCCACTTCAGGTGAGTCCCCGCCTCGGGGCCCGAGGGAACCCAGAGCCGCCAGGACCCCCGCCGTGTCCCCCGCCCTCCCGCGTCCCGTCGACGCGTGCCAGCCTACACCGAGCTCTGTGCAGCTTGGGCGTCTAGGGCCGGTGAGGGGCAGCCCGGGAAGGAAGGCGGGACCTCTGTCCCCCATCACTCCCATCCAGACCCCGAAGCACTGCGGTGGCCAGAGAGCACGCGCTCCTTCCCCTGCGAAGTCTTGTGCGCGAAGAGGAGAGGCGGGCACCCTAGTCACCAGCCGGGGCAGGATGGCGCTCCTGGAGCGGGAGACCCCTGGGGGAGGTGGCGCGCGAGCTGGGGGAGCCTAAGTGCGCAGAAAATGTTTGAGCGTTGCCTAGTCCGCTCGTGTTCCTTGCAGGCAGGGTGCCAGACAACTCTGACTTTCCTTGCTTCGCATCCCGCCGCTGCTCTTGCTGCTGGTCCCACGAACAGCCTTGCTTTAGTCTTAAGGTTCCCGCCTAAGCCACCCCGCTCTGCGGTCCAGTTAACCACCCCCGCCCCCCAAACACCCCTTCCCTCCCCGCTGGGTCTTGGGCTGCCCTGGTTGGAGGCCCGGAATGTTTTCCTCCCTTGAGGTCTGTGGCTTGTGTCTTGGATTCCAATCCCCTTCTCCTTTTCAGGTTTCTCTGTGGCAGCCAGCTTCCTTCCCACCCTCTGCTGGGCCTGGGACATTGCTAGAAATGTCATCCTCGGGCTTTTTGGCTTCTTAGGATGTAAAATGACTGCTTCTTCTTTTTTGGGGGGAGGGGGGATATTTTTCTGCTGGCTATGAACTGTCACAAGTTCCTAAGTGTGGAGCTTTCTCGAAGTTTCCATGGCTCAGAGCTTGCGTCTTGCTTATCTGTTTGAGGGGCAGGGGGATGGCTCCCCTCACCCCAGGTGGCTTGAGCCCCTGGGTAGAGGGACAGCTTGGCCCCTGCTGGCTTGCTGGTGCTTCAGGGTGGCCTTCACAAATGTTTCCGAATGCTTCTAGGAATTTTCAATCCTCTACATCTCCCAGGTGGGATTTGGGCTAGTTGAGAGAGCTAACATGGTGGCTGATGGGCACAAAAATGGCTGGGGGACAGGAGGAGGAGGGAGACCAGAGAGGAAAACAACATGGAGGTAGACCTGGCTCTCCAACCAGGTGGGGGGGGGCTGCAGCCAATGATGCACACAGTCAGCATGGCAACCTGTGAGGTCAAGGAAGGGAGGTGACTGTGGGGGTGCTGGGCCATATTGAACCAAGAAACCTCACTGTGGTCCAGGCCTAGCCTGCCCTTGGGGTACAGCTCTTCCCGAATCTGTCTCAGTTTTTCCATCTATAAAGTAAAAAAAAGAGCTGATTTGGGAAAACAAACAAACAAACAAACATATCCAGGGCCTTTTCTCGTGTTTCCCCCTCCCTCTCTCCAGCCAGCAATGGGGAGAGGGGTGTAGAGATTCAGCCCTACCCTGGGCAAGGGCTATGGATGCTGAAAAGCCCTGTGGAAAATTCCACTAATCCAGTGTATGAGTGTGTTTCAAGTTTTCCTTAGTAGCTCTACAAGTGAGCTTAATAGCTGGCTGGGGAAAGGTGTGCATTATCAGGTGCTCCTTAACCTCAAGGACCCCAGGATGAGGTTGTTTTTCTATTTGCTTTAAACGAGAAAAGCTAATTGTGAGATCAAAACAACCTCGGAGTCTGTGATACCACTTTCCTGCAGACTAATCCAGGGGCAGGGGGGATTTGGTGACCCCAGTGCAATCATGTCTGTTTGCCTCTGCAGTTCAAAACCTGGAGGTGGCGTTCTTGTTCATAGTTTATCAGAAGTCTGGAAGCTTCTCTATGAGCCATGTTTCCAGCCACCATTTTGAGAGGTCTAAGGCCTCCATTTTCCCTCCCTGTTTCCGAGCCTCCCTCCCTCCCAAGAGTGCTGGCCTTATCTCTTCAGAGGACTGAGGGATTAGCCTGCAGCCCATGAGACTCACAGAGCCTCAGAAAAGAAGACATCTGGGTATGGCTTTTCAAAGTAGAAACTGCTTTTCCCAAGCCCAGGTCTTCCCCTAGCCTACAGTGAGAATTAGCCACTTCAGACACAAGAAAATGGCCCCGACACGTCACATCTGTATGCCAGTTAAGCACCTCTAAGAGCCCAAAATGCTGCAATACACAGGTTATGCCTAGGTCTCCTGCTCTGTTTACCCCTTATTTTGGGAAGAAGTTGCCTGATGGCTTTAAAAAAATAATCCTTTTGGAAGTGCAACATACAGTATGAAATCACATATGTGAACAGCTCGGTAGATTTTTCACAAAGTAAACATGCTCATGTAACCAACACCTAGATCAGGAAAGAGAACATTAGAAGCCCCCTCCAACACACACACACACACACACACACACACACACACACACGCACGCACCAATTGCACCGGCCCTGTACCCAAAGGAAGGAAAACACTTCTGTCTTTCAACACCACACATTAGTTTGGGCTGGGGGCTTTTTAAGAAGCTTTTCATTACAATTTTTCAAAGATGTATAAAAGCAGAGGGAGTAATAGACTGAATCTCCACGTACTTGTCACCAGGCTCACATGTATGCCCTCATGGTAACTTGTTTCTCTGTCCCTACCCACCACCCTTTTCTGGGTTAGATTATTTTGGAACAAACCTCAGGCATCATATCATTTCATATGTAATCTTTTAGCTCTGATGGACTTCACAAATGGAGGAAAATGACATTATTGCACCAAATATTTAAGAATAATATATTCATGCCTCAACTATCCAGCCAGTGTTCAGATCTCTCTTGTTGGGTTATAAATGGTATTTCTGGTGTTTCTACAGTTTGCCTTTCAAAAATAAGGGTCCAAATAAGATGTGTGTGTTAGCAGATGGAAATTTTTATTTTTTAAATGACTTTTATTGATTTACAACCTCTACACAGAAAAGTGCTAAAATCATAAGTGTACAGGTGAGGAGTGGTCGCCAAATGACCACACTGGCAGAAAGAAAGCTGGGTAAAGGGCTGGAATATGACAAGCAGCTCAGACGCCCATGGTACCCCATCACACCTGCCTCCCAGAAAAGTAGCACTAACCTGAGGGGAGTACAGATATTAGCAGATAGCTTTCCTGAAAGGATCATTATTGTTATTATTTTTATTATTGTTATTTTATTATTATTACTGTTTTTGACGTGGTGCCTGGCCATAGCACTCAAGATGGATTCCTGCTGGTCATCCATTTCCTGAATTTTTTTCACTGCTGAGAAGACCACAAAGAGCTGCTCTTCAGCATTCCTTCCTCCCCTCCTACCCTCAATGCACCAACTATTACAAACCCCACAAAACTGCAGAACATTCCTCCCTCTTCTGGTCCTTTCTCCAAGAGGCTGCCTTGGCTCCTGCAAGCAAGCATTCCTCAGCAGCCCTGACCCTTAGCCTGCCCTTGACCCCGGGCTGGTGCTGTGGAGGCCCAAGAGAGGCCCAGGCCAGCAAGAGTGGCAGAGGGCCATGGCTCGTACAAGAACGCCCTCTGACTTTATTTTACATTGAATAACTTTTGAAACTCCAGGTCCTTTTGTCATTGTTGACTTTTTTTTTTGAATAAAGAATTATGAAAGAGGAGTAGCGTAGAAAGCTCCCAAAGAACAGAAAGATTCAAAAGAAATTAACCAGTGTAATCTGTTAGTGCCTCATGATTTACTATTACCAGTTTCTAATTAAGCTTTGCATTGCAAATATTTTGGGTGGCTTCTGTCCCCAGGGGTGCCAGCTGCAGCCCCTAAAGAGGGCAGAGCTTGACTCTTTATTGGTCTATTCTAGGTCGACGGGACCTCAGACTTCAGTGGAAGATGAAGCATTTGGCTATGATGATGTCTTTGACCACCCCCAGCCTCAGCTTCTAAGCAGGAAGCTTCTCTCTGAAGAAATAAAGCCCACCACTGCCATCACAACTGCTACAGAGGCTCCACGCAAACTCAGCAAACTGCAAGAAGCCTCTCTCATCCTGGACACGATCCTGAATAATTATGACCACAAGCTGCGCCCTGGCATTGGTGGTGAGTATCAGACCCCAGGTCTAGAAGGAAGGAGGGAGGGAAGGAGAGGGGGTGGCAGGCACGGGTGTAGGGGAATTGGTGGGGTGGGCGGTAGGTGAAGGTGCCACACAAGGCACAGAGACATCTTCTGCTGACCTGTTGGATAACTCATATGAACTCTAGTCTCAGCTGTTCCATGAATGTTGGTGAAGACTTTTCTGTTCTCTCACTCTGTTTTCCCAGCCCTAAAAAGGGATGACTGGACTACCTGACCGACCTGCAAGTTGTCTGTCTGAACCTTCCCAGGGCAGGAGCTGACTCTTGCCATGAAGGAGCAAATGAGGAACTAGAATTGCTCCTCTTTCCTCCTTTCTGCCCACGCCCCCTACCCCCATACCCCTGTTGACACTTACGCCCTGCTCCTTTGCTTTCCTTCCAGTGAGGCCCACCGTGGTCACCGTTGAGGTCTCCATCAACAGTCTTGGCCCTATTTCCATCATGGACATGGTGAGTACTGAGTTTTGATTGCACCACTTCTGAGCCCAGGGGCTGACCTATGGGACCTGCCACATAGGTGTGCTTTCTACTCTGTGTTTCTGTAGCAATTCCAAAAGGTTTGATTTGGTTCGATTTCTGGAGGGAGGGGGAGATTTGAATTGTTCCTACCTTAGGAATGAGGCTAGAAAAGGTAAGTAGTCTCTTGCTGCCTGAAGAGGACCTTTGGAGTCGTGACTACATCTTCCAGTCCTTCCTTCAAAATAAAAATAAAGCAACTTGAAACACCACTATGGAATGGCTCTTTCTGATAATTATTGGTGCGACCTTAACTCTGTGGTTTCCAGGTGTTTCTCTGTGATTGTTTCTGTAATTGTGTCCTAGTTCCTGCTCTCCCTCCAGGTATTTATTGTTGTTTTTTTCTTTTTTTTTGGTTTTTCTCCAGTACTGGGAACCGAACTCACGACCTTGCGCTTGCCTGGCAGGCGCTTTTGCGGCTGAGCTAAATCCCCAGCCCCCCCTCCTGGTATTTATACAAGTACCCTCACTGTCACCAGTCAGTCTTCGTATGCAAAGCCATCTGCCTACCCTAACCCTTCTGCTGAAGGTGCAGCTCAGCCCCACTGTCCAGCAATCCTGATCTTCCATGGCTCTGCGCTTTTTCACCTGCTCTAATCAGTACTTAAATAGGAACATTACCAGAGCACCTTGAGCCTCTGAGCTGAGCTTTGTTCAAGCAGCTCCTACCTGAGATGACATTGCTCTATTTTCCTAATGTCACAGGTTTTTTCCTTTACAGTCCAGCTCAGAAGACATTTTGTCCATGGCAACTTCCCTGATGTCCACAGCTGTTCATGTCACCCTTCTTCCACCACATTGCATTCTGGGCACTTGCATCTTTCTGCTTTATACCTAGCTTGTTTTTCCCCTAGCTAAGCGCATGGTAATTATTTGCTCTGTCTACCATGGTTTCCTTAATACCAAGGATTTGGTGTAAGTTAGCTGACTAAATGTGTCATGAAAGATGCTCTGTAAAGGTCACCTATATCTGTGGAGCCTGACAGTGAGGAAGACTTTGGTAACCAGGGTCACTGTAGCTATAGACTTGGCCTGGCCAAGGATAGACACAGTTCTCACCTACACAACAGTACCCACCAAACACCATGTGGCCAGGTGCAACTTGACTTTTAGATCGATCTTGCAAAGATAAGTAACCCTGAGGGAAGGTCCAGATTTCTTGCTTCTCTGCAGTGCAGATCATTGGATAAAGCTGTGGGAGGCCCCTGTTCTTGTATGGCCTGCTTTCTCCAGTGCACTTGCTGAGGACAAGGACACAGGTTTCTGCTGCTCAGGCATACAACACGTCATTGCTCGGAGCATATGTGTCTCCTCGGATACTCATGGAAGGCCGGGTGGCAACTCAGGCTGCCATTAAGGGTCCCTTTTACTTTCAAAGGACCAGAGCCTCCCAGTGAGACCCAGTGTCAGTTACAGTCAGTGTAGTTGTCGGAGGGCAGTTTGAGCACCCTTCAGTCAATCAGATGTGTGGCGTGCAAGCCTTGTCCTTGCAAAGGATACCTGAGCCCAAGGCATGTGGATTTTAATCACATGTTCCCCCAGTCTCCCGGCTGAACTTGGAAGCACCCAGTTTGAGCTTAAAAGGCACTGGTCACACAAGGATGGACAGCCTGTTGCAGCGTCGCCAGTTGCCCGTGCTGTTTCTGGCTGTGCTAATTATTGCATGTGACTCGAATTAAGCCACTTCCTAAATACTGAATTTCTACTTTCAGCTGAGCTAAAAGACATGTACTGTACATCCCCAGCTCTCTTGTCAAACTGGGGAAACAGTGGACCATTAGTTCTCGGTTGACGTGTAAAGAATTTACAACTGGTACTGTGTTAACTAGAAATTAAGTGCTCATTTGAAGGACTTCGTAGCAGACCACGAGCACAGCGTGTGCGTGGAGGGTAAGGTTTCCCATCAGCTGCCGAGGGTTCACATGGCCTGTAAAGTAAGGAGACTGCCGGCTGAGCTGGAGCCTCCAGCTGCTTGGGAAGGTGGAAACAATCTGAGGGCCCTTTGTAAAAGACGGTGGGGTGCAACCAGTCGGGGTGGACTCCAGGCTTCCTGTGCAGATGGTTGGTGGGCTCTTGAGTGCTTGTCTGCTTCTTCAGCCTACTCCAGAGCAGGGCCATGGTAATGGTGCTGTGAATGGTACAGCCATCATGCTGCCATGTTTGTGTGACTTTGGACAGTTCCCAATCTCTTCAGTCCTCAGTTTCCCTACCTGTAAAATAAAGGAGGTAGGCAAGCCCTCAAGAGTGGTGTTGGGGTGTACTTCTGGTATTTGCTTTTCAAAATGCTTGCAGTTATACTGCAGTCTATCTTTCTCCTTTGAATACCAGTGGTGCACATTTCCAACTTCTTGTGCTTCTTCCTATTAAACATCCTTCCTTTTGTTCAACAGACAGTTTATGGGATAGGCAATATCTACAGAGCAAATAATCATGGATATATCTATGCATGTGCACACACACATCCAGAGGTTACGGGCACTTGTTTGAAAGGCAAAACAAAACAAAGCAGAAAAATGATTCCCCTTATTTAAAAAACATGAGACTAGATAGACATTTCTCTTGTGAATCAAAGTACTTCATTTTTTAATATAATTCTGAGGAATGAAGGATTGAGGTTAATTAACATCTGCGTGCTCCATAAGTGAAAGCTGAAAGGAGAAACTTGGCTGTATACAATCAAAAGTGGGTGTGCTTACAAATTTTTCAAATGATTTTGAGCTGGGACAACTGGTTTGCCATGGCAGTGTGGGGCTGAAAAGATATTAACCTTGCAGGAGTAGCACCACAGCCCTGCATATCATTAAGAAGTGATGAGTCTAACCTGTGCAATTGAACCAACATCATCTGTTTCAAGATGAAATGCGTCTTCCCCGACTGGTACCATATCTATTTAGGAATGTCACTTTCCTTTGGGAACACCCGGGAATAGAAAACTTTTCCAGTCAAACTTTGAGGCTGTTTTCCTCTCTTCACACCTGAGTGGACACCAAAGTGTTTAGCAATGGTGCCTTTGGACACAGGTAGGGAAAGGGTCTCAACATCAGGGCTGGACACTGGGTGGTTTTTGGAGGTCATCCCCAAATTGTTTCTAGTCATCCATTTAACAAAGAGGATAACAGACAAACATGTATGTTTCTAGTAGGTTTCTTTCCTTCCACATTCTTTTGGAGCCGTTTCTAGGGCACGTGTGGTTTTCTGTACTGTCATTCAGTATTGGCTGGCTGTTCTCTGGTCTTCTTTACTTTGACACAATTCCGATTTTATGTTCCCAAGTGTGGATATGGTGTGTCATTTTTAGTCACTAGATCCTGTGTTGTTTCTTAGCTTGGTTGTGAACTGTTCTCTTCTTCATTTATAAGGAAACATGAAAAAAAAAAAAAACATTGCCCTTAAGCATGTGCTGATGAGGAGCCTCAGAATGTAGAATGTCAGAGCTAACACGACTTTTACAGATCACCAAATGTCACTTACCCTACTGTTTTATTTATGTTGAGCTTCCAGATACCTAGAAATCATTGGTATCCTTGACTCTACATACAAAGGATGGCCAAAATATATGGGGAATTCTTACATTAAAATTTATTACAGTAAGAGACACTGCCATGAGTCCCCACAAAATCCTCCCGCTCACTTTGAAAACACTAACCCTATCATCCTTGCTGCTTCCTGAAGCACTTCTGCAAGTTCTCTTTTGTGAATGTCTTTATGAGGCGTGTGGTTTAAAAAATATAGCAAATACTGCTGCAAGTGCCATCCAATGGAAAGCCAGACTTGTAAAAATATTACAGTGTGTCCTCACCCACCTTATTCACTGAATCTGGCACCATGCCACTTCTGGCTCTTCCCCAAAGTCAAAATGACCATGAAAGGTCAATATGTTGAATCACTTCAACACATGAAGGCAGCCATGACTGCACAACTGAACACACTCAGGAAAGACTTCCAAAACTTTCAGAAAGTGGCAGGAACAATAGGATAAGTGCGTTCCAAAGAAAAGGAGTATTTTGAGGGGAATTAAATGCCACTGTGGTTTGAATGGTTGTATTTGTCATTTGGTTGGGCAATACATTCTTTTTCAAATGGTGGAATCACTCCAAGATATGTGGTGGTTCTTGCAGAGTAAACAGCACAAAGTGAGTGGTAGTGCCCTGAGCTAAGTTCTATGAGATGTCTGTGGACCCTTGGAAACATGAGGATGTTTACACTTTGGCCAAAAGAGTCACATATTAGTAGTCTGTCAGTTGACTCTGCCGTCCTGGCAGATCTGTTGGTAAAAACAAATGGGTTGAAGGAACCGCTCAGCCCTGAGTGTCTGGTTTTCTGTCCTTCCTACCAGGAGTACACCATCGATGTCATCTTCCGTCAGAGTTGGTATGATGAACGCCTTTGTTACGATAACACCTTTGACAGCCTTGTTCTGAGCGGTGATATGGTGAGCCAGCTGTGGCTCCCAGACACCTTCTTTACGAATTCTAAGAAGACCGTGGAGCATAGCATCACCTTGCCCAACCAGATGGTCCGCATCTACAGGAATTGCAGGGTGTTGTACACAATTAGGTATGTCAACCCTCTGGTGTCTCGCCTTTTAGGATTCTCCCTCCCTTTTGGGAATCTAGCCAAAAACATTGCCCAGAACCTCATCCTGAGTAATATTCCTAAGAGGGGGCCTATCTAGTTTTCTTAGGACATGAGTTCCGCCTCTTCATGTAAACACATAGAGACAGGCCTCAAAATAAAAATAAATAAAAATTTCAAAAGATTCTGTTTAAAGCCACAGACCAAGATTGTGTCACAGCTAGGACTACACCCCAGTTACTGGGCTCCCAATACAGAGCTACCTCAACTAAGTGTACCAGTACGACTGCATTGCCTGGACAATTCCATCTTGAGTGGACAATGGATGTAAAGGCACGTCCACGGTGGTGGAATTGTCAAGGCGGAGCAGCAACACAGCGGTTGGAACCTAAGAGCAGGTTAGATATTGCCAGGAATTCCTGGCAGAGGAAGGTGGTGTGTTGGGTGGGGGTGGGGTGGGAGGTAGTAAATACTGGGGAAAGGATTTGCAGGTCCTAGAAACTGGACCGGGCAGGAAACAAAAGTCCATCTCAGTTCATATAATTTTCTGATGATGGAGGCCAAAGTTGTTAAATACTTCCAAGCTATATTTCTTCTCCTTTTGTCTCTCCTTTGAACATTTTGTCTTAAAATCTGCTTATGCCGATCATTGGTGGTGGTCTGTAGATCAAAGCTGGATGGATACCTAAATGCTCAGAGCCAGCCTAATGAGGCTCCTCTCTCCCTTCCAGGATGACCATTGATGCGAGATGTTCGCTCCACATGCTCAAATTTCCAATGGATTCTCACTCTTGCCCTCTGTCTTTCTCTAGCTGTGAGTACCTTCTTAGGTTTCGGGGAACCCAGATATATGTTGGGCCCCTTCTTTTACTCATCTTTGCCTTTTACATTTTTCTGCTTCTGCTTTTCCCCTAAGCTGGTGCCAAAGTCGTGCCAAGCTTCCACCCTCCATCCCCCAACCTCAGCTGCTTCCCTGTGTTGCTCTACCTGAGCCTCATGCTTACTTCCTCCTTCTTCCTCGCACCCACCTCGAGTGAGCTACCTGCTTCTGAGCTATATATCTCAAGTATGTCTGCTTCTGTGCATCTCTGCTGCTATGACCTTGGTTTAGGCCTTTGTCATCTTCCCCTTGGAGTTTTGCAACATCTTCGCTTTGAAATGGAACATATCCCAAGTGGAATTTATTGTCTCCTCCCAACCCCTGCTTCCCAAACAAACATGTTGCTTCTGCGTTTCCATCTGTCTCACTGAAGCCAAGAACTTTGATGCTTCTCTGTGTTCCCAACCTGCATCTAATCAACCAACATGTCCTGTTGGTGTTCCCTCCCAATTCTCTATCTGCCTTTCCTCTGTTTCTATTTTTCTGTATTCTGATGGTCACAGCTTTGACTCCCACCTTCATTCATTTTATTGTGCTTGAATTGCTGTACTAGTCTCTCGTAGCTGGCCAATTTGCCAACCTGCTGAGCTCACGTAAGAACCAGAGTGACCTGGCTGAAGCATCATCTAGATCAGGTCACTTCTTCATTTACAGTCCTTCTTTAACTGTCATGGGTCAATTCGAAATTCCTTAGAATGACCCTCAGGGCACTCCATAAACTGGCCCCTGCTCCCTCCTCCTACTCAACTCATACTCTCTCAGCTCGCCATTCTGAAATTTTGCCATTTCTGCAGTAAACCAGACATTTCACCTTTCAGCACGGCTCCTCACCCCTTCAGCATCATCCACATGGAAATGTTTACTTGACTTTCAAGACTTTCTGGGGGGTGTCACCTGCTCTATAGTCTTCTCTGAGTGTGTTCCCAAGTGATCTTCCCTTACTCTGTTTCCTCACTGTTCTACGGGTAGAGGTTTTCTAGAGCAACTCCAAAAGTCACCGCAGTACTATTCACTCACTGCCTTACCCAATAAAATGTGGATGCTTGAGGGCAGGGCTCATGCCTTGCTCATCTCTGTATTTGCAGCCCAGGGCCTGGTACTGAGGAATGCTCAGTAAATGCACTTATTGAGTGGACTTCAACAACCAGGTAAGAGAGGTTGAGTCCCACGGCGGATGAGGCCGGAGTCAGGACTCCAAGGCGTTGCTCAGGCTGACTCCATGCTGGAGAGGCCATCAGCTGGCCTTCCCAATCTTATTGGGCCCTTCTTTCCTTGTTGCTTTCCAGTTTCCTACCCCGTGAGTGAGATGATCTACAAGTGGGAGGATTTTGAGCTTGAAATGAGTGAGAAGAACACCTGGAAGCTCTTCCAGTTTGACTTTACTGGAGTGACCAACAAAAGTGAAATTGTCTCCACTCCGGCTGGTAAGTGTGCCATGGGAGTCAGGGCTAGGCAGCGGTCTAGAAAGGTGGTAGGGCTACGTGGAGACGGCTGTCTGTATAGATGCTGTGCAGTCATGACATCAGGACAAGGCTCCTGTCTTGTAAATGCTAAGCACTTACAACTGTTTGCAGAGGAAACTGAGACTTTGCAACTATGTCTCAGTCTCATCTGCAAAGAAGTAAGTGCTTTGCTGAGCCCCTTGAGAGGATAGGTAAGTAGATGACATTTTCTTGCTGTCAGATTTTGCAGTCAGCTGTTCATGTAAACCCTCCAGTTTCAAGGTCTTTGTTGCAACATTGACCTGGTTGGATGGCTAGAGAATGGAGCACATGTGACATTGCCATCTCCAGAACTAGTCCAAGCTGGTCAGATGGGAAGCAAGGTCCATCTTAATGGGAGGTAGAGACTGAAGTTCTAATGGCAGCTGGGGTACTGAAGGAGGTTACAGAAACTACAGTGGCTGCTATGTTGACAATTATCTTAAAAGAGCAACTCTAAAAATGCACACATTGCTGTCAAAGAATTCGTGGTGGTTTGAGCATAGACATCGTCACCACTGGTTTTCTGATCTTGCCTCCAACAAGGATGAAAGGGGAGGGTCCTGGGTCTCTTAACTTTCAGCTCCCAATTCGGTGTGAGCTTCTTTGCTTGTGTTTCTAGGTGACCTCAATGAGGAGCCAAGGGACCTTCCCAGGGTTGCTCCCAGAGCTTCCCTGGAAACCCTCTTCACACGTACTGACCAAGTTCAGGGCAGTGGAGGCAACGCCCTCATCGTTTCCAGAATGTGGATGGAATCAGTCACCCCACCGACCATTTGTCATGGGAGGCATATTGCTCTGCTTCTCTGTGGTTAGACAGAAAACTGACTTTTGCTTCACTTGTTGAGTTAGTCATACGTAAAGGGCCGCTCGTGCTCACTTGGCTAGAGCTTTGCTCGCACAGTACTAGGCAGGGGGCAAGGGCTGCTTTACAAATGCTTTCCTCTATCCTGGGAGTTTCGGAGAAGCAATGCTACTACCTTTATCAAGATCATGGCTCTTCCACCAGCTAGTCATGGGCCTGTCTCTTAGCTTTCTGCACCTCAGTTTCTCCAGATAGGTGGGGCCTCATCACCAAAGGCAACAGAGGAGACAAGGCTCAGGGGCTTTTAAGTCACTCGTGGTTCCGTTTAGTAGATGACTGTGCATTGTTTCAAAATGGCGCCCTAGTGACTGCAAAGCCCCTTGGCCAGCAACATCACCAGATCAATGACACTAGGTAAGCACCAGCTCTTCTTTCTCTCATGCTGGACACTGGTTGATCCTGAGTCATGGTTTTCCCAGGTCTTTGTGATCTTCAGGGTTATTCTCAAATTGTTCCAGTCAGCTTCTGCTCTCTATCTGGAGCAGACTTACATACTCATGTCTTAATGGTTCAAAATGTGGTGCCAGCTTGCTACTCTGCTCACCTTGGGCCTTGAACCAGTGGACCTCTGCTTCAAGAGGTCTCAGGAAGTCCACCTTGGGCCCCAATGAGTGAATCATCCTCCACTGACAGCTTTGGAGCTTCCATGAAATCTTACAGCAGTCAGTTGTTGATTGTCTTGCAAGGAATTTTCTTCCTTCTCTAGACATCTGTGCCCATCAGCAAATTCACTGTGCTAGTCTGAAAATGGGACTCTGAAACTTCTACCCGTTGGACCTGTATTGCCTTAGACTAGGTCATGTTCCCTTTACTCTCCATAGCCCTAGCACATTTTTCTCCCTTGTTCTTCAAAGCCTTGGGTCCACTCATCCTTCTAGTCCGAGTCCTGGACTTTTAAATTTTCTCCCACTCACAGCACAGTGACCAACCGTGGTCTGGGCAAAGCAGGTAAGGGTAAGACCAGAAAGCACCTTTAGTATTTTTCTTTTTTTTTTTTTTTTTTTTTTGGCTCTGGCTCATCAGCCCCATTATAGCTTTCTTTCTTTGCCCACGTTTCTCTACTCCTCAGGAAGAAGAATGTGTATGTTAGCATTCTTATCATGGCTTTCAAAAATAAATTTTTATCTTTTGACAAGTAGATAAGCTTCTTCTTTAGCCAAAATAAACAAAATTAAAATAGAGAAATCCAATAAAATAATAAACCTTCTTTTGACAAGCACATATAAACTCAGCAGTTTTGCACAGCTGGGGGTGGTTATGGCTAGTTAGCAGGCTCTTACATTGTAATTAAGACCCCAGGGCCAGAGAGTAGGAACTTGATGGATAGGTTGTGGCCAGTGCTTTCTGCCGCATCGCTGGAGGCAATTTGGCCCCAAAGCTATTACTTTGGAATCAGATTTCCCACTGATCCCAGGCTACTTCCTCGCCTTTTTTTCCAGAAGAATCTGAGAAGTGTTGTTCCCTGAGTGTCAGTGCTGCCAAGGTGAGTAGGCAAGGCTTCTCTCCTTCAGATTCAGCACACCCAGCCCTGTCTGCAAGCAGTCTCCTTTGTATGGACAGCTTAGTGTTCTGGTCTCCTTTTTACACCTGTTGCAGACAGCAGCAAGAGTCAGTGAGCGTCCACTGGTTTCCAGGCTACTCCAGGCTGGGGTAGGCAGGGGCTAAGCTGCAGGGCCTGAATGAGCTCTGCCTTCAAGGGCTTTGAAAGCCAACCTTTGAAATCAAGGCAAAGGAATTCTATGGGATCACTGAAGTGAGCATACAGACATACATTTCACAAAGACCCAGGACTACTAGAGCTCTTCTTGTGATGTTCCTAGTGAAAAGTGAGGTTCTGTATTACCCTAGACCTAGATAATGTTCTGTTAAAGTCTCCATAGCCCTAGTTTATTTTTCTCCCTTGTTCTTCAAAGCCTTGGGTCCACTCATCCTTCTAGTTTGAGTCCTCTTAATTTAGAGAAGAGCCCAAAGATCCACAGAGGTAAGTTAGCATACAGAGTGTTTGGGGCAGATGGATCAAAGCACAGGCAGCCTGAAGAGTACAACAGAAGATGACAACTGGAGATGTGAGCTGTCATGAGCTCCTGTGGGAGCCATTGCTGTCCAGGGTGAGAGCAAGAGTAGGGAAACATGCTCAAAGGAAAGTGAAGACATCAGTCTCCCTTGTGGGTGTATACTCTGCAGATTTTACACCTAAATGGTTGGCTGAAATGTTCACTTTCCAATGCATTGTTCTGCTCTCCTGAAAAATCCATTTACACTAAGGGTGTTAGACTAAGAACAGAGGATCCAAGGTTTGAATATTAGTGTAAATACTCAAATATTCAGGCTATCTCAGAGAATCTGAGAACCAGTGAGATTAGCTGTGTGTGTGTGTGTATGTGTGTGTATGTGTGTGTGTGTAAAATACCAGTTGGATTTGGGTCACACTGGGCCTTTAGTGTCAGAGTGCAGAGTTGATCCTGTAGCTCACATAGAGCAGGGAGCCACTGGAAATCTGGGAGCCAAGAGAGTACTTGCTTGGGGCCCCGCCCATGGTGAAGCAGTATATGTGTAGAAAGAAGGCCAGAACCCATGTGCTTCCTCCAATCACAGCACATGCTTCCTGATAGCGAGAGGACTAATTGATTTTTTCACTTTCATCTGACTCCCATGCCACCCTGAAAAAGCTCTTGGGGTGGGACAGTAAACTGAAAAAGAAGCGATGAATCTGGCCTTGGCGTAGCTCTCAGCTAGCCTAGTGCCTGCTTCTGGCCCCAGTGTGTTGCACTGAAACAATCTGTCTCTGTCTTAGGACTCACGTGGCAGGGAATCCCGTGAGTTGAGCGGTAGGATTCTTACTGTGTGTGCCCCGCTGTTCATCACACAATGGGGATTTTTATGTTTTCCAGGTGAGTTCATGGTTATGTCGTTTTTCTTCAACATGAGTAGGCGGTTTGGCTATATTGCCGTTCAAAACTACGTCCCTTCTTCTGTGACTACGATGCTGTCCTGGGTTTCCTTTTGGATCCAGAGAGACTCTGCTCCAGCCAGGACCTCTTTAGGTGAGATGGTAAAGTGGACATGCACATGGACATGCGGGTAATATAGTTTGATAGGGACAAGGGCTTGCCTTGTCCTTGTATCCTGGAAGTATTGTAGCATGTGGGTCAGGAGCTTAGCGTATCTCCACTCCTTGCCCTTGCAGGGATCACCTCTGTACTCACCATGACTACTTTGGGCACCTTTTCTCGTAAGAACTTCCCACGCGTATCCTACATCACAGCCTTGGATTTCTACATCGCCATCTGCTTCGTCTTCTGCTTCTGTGCTCTGATGGAGTTTGCTGTTCTCAACTTCCTGACCTACAACTACGTGAAAGCCAATGCTTCTCCGATACTCCGCCATGTACGACATGGGTATAGGAGTGGTGGCATGGCTTTACTATGTGGAGGCCTTGGTGACAAGGGCAGTAAGGTTATGGCACACGGGTGGCCAGCTTCCTTAGTGTTGGGGAGTTACCAGGAGTTGTGGGGGAAATCAACCTGATGTGATGGGTGGACTGCTGGCGTGCCAAGGACAGAGTTTGCGGGAGACTCTACGCTGGTAGATGTGGCTTGCCTTCCTTTGATTCTTCACTTTTCTTTCCTTGTCTATTGCAGCCTCCTATCAGCGGCGCCCGCGCCCGTGCTCTTGCCCGTGCCCGTGCCCGCCAGCAGGAGGAGGTGTTTGTGTGCGAGATTGTCACTGACGGAAGTGATGGAGAGGAACACCTGTCTTGCACAATCCAGGAGCTCCCCTGCCCAGAAAGCCTTGAAGCCCCCCGTGGAAGGTTCGCTCGTTTGTTCAGGCGTGCCAGGAAGTATTTCTGCATGGTCCCTGAGTGCCAGGCCTGTACCTTTCAGAGGGGTCGCCTTCGCATCCACCTCTTCCGCCTGGATAACTACTCGCGAGTTATCTTCCCGCTCTCCTTCTTCCTCTTCAATGTGATCTACTGGCTTGTTTGCCTTAACCTGTAGGTGCCAGTAGGTTCCCTGTGGGGCAGACTCCCCAGTTCCCCGGGAGATTCCAAGCCCCTTGCCAAGGGAGTTGGGGGACAATGGCAGCAACAGGGGCACCCAGTGTTTTTCCTCCCTTGTTCCCCTAATACAAGCCTGAGAAGAGTTTCTCTTTGGTGGCCCTCTCCCCATGAGTCCCTTCACTCAGTCTTCTCAGCACTCCCTTGCAAAGAATTTCCCCCACCTCCTCTCTTCTTCGAGGGGCATTCACGATGCTCAGGATGCTCAGTCTTTCAGATCGCAGGCATTTAATGATCAGCTCCCTAAAGCCCTGCCCATCTAGGAGCAGATTAGCTCACTCCCAGCTGTGCTGACAATCACTGCCTTTTCTCAGAAACCCAATACTGCCTTTGTGGTGCTATAGGCCCAGCTCAGGCCTCTGCCTCAAAGTGCACAGACCAGCTAATTTCCTCACCCTGACACCTCCTTAAAGGGCTAGACAAGAGTACAGGAGGACCCTACCCTGGTTTTTTTTCCCTATCTCCTGTCCTCCCTTCCCATGCAGATAGACAGGCACTGGCATTATCTCTTTAGGAGGAGGGGAGCCGGCAAGTGGGTCTTTTGGGGACAGTATCCCTCCCTCTGCTGCTGTGACACCTCCCGCTCCCTCCCCGCCTCCATCTGCACCACCGATTCAATGCCTTGCATCCAGTGGGTATCTGTCTATTTTGGTGTGTGGTGATATTTATTACCCCCTGCTTTTATGCCCCCTCTTCCTCTTCCTTGACCCCTGTGACTTGCTGTAACTTCCCCCGTGACTTTCCCAGCCCTATCCAGGTGCTAGGCTTTGGTAATTCCCTGGGACCAAGAAACGAAAGAAACTCTGCTTTGCAGTGGGCATGGCCCACCATTAATTGGTGCCCACCTTGGGCACAGTCGGAGTTTGACAGCTTCCTTGGCCCCTGGACCCATGAGCCAGTCCATTCTTATCCTTGGGGCACTCACAATTCCACCCAATCAATTGAATTCCCTTAAATTTATACAGCACTTTACCTCTGGAGAAGCACTTTTAACAAATCCTTTCTATTTGGAGTTTCATTTCAGCCCTGTGACATCCTCAGGGCAGAATTCTTATCCCCATTAAGCAGATGGGAACCCTGAGGCACAGATTTCTATGGGACTGTAGACCTTACTGGAAACCATCAGGAGCCCACTGTCATCTTTTAGACCACATGACAGGGCTAGGCAGCTCTGATCACAATTTGATTCTTTTGCTTCTACTGGCACCCCAGATTGGTAGGCGCTTTTCAGCATTGATCTGCCCAATTCCTGGGTCTGAGATGCTCAGACTGCCCCCCATATGGACCTTCTCCTGGCTCTAGTCACCCAGTGAGATGAATTTGGACCATAGCCCCAATGCTTGTATATGCTAAATGAAATCTGTGTCTGTATTTTAAGGTGGGTGGGTAGGGTGGGGATCCATCTGCTTTCTGTCACCATCATCTGAAAAGGGGAATATATAAATAAATCAATCAGCAAAGTATTCAAGGTGTCACTTATTTCTTTGGCATTCGAGTTTGCTCCCAGTTCAGGTTTTCAGCCTTTGTCTGGTTCCCTCTCCAAAATATGACTTCCAGACATACGTCACCTGCCAGGCATGCGTCAAGGACCCTTCGCTCGGTAAGAAGCAAGGGGAAGAGAGTGCCTGGGTGTGTGGGCCCCTTTGAGATTTCGTGACTTGCTCCTGTGCCCAGTCTCTGAGCCCTGCTTCCTTGGCCCATCACCCTAGCCCCCCAAATTATCAGGGCACCTCTGGGCTCAAACCACCCCCACCCCTACCCCCGCCAGGGAAAAAAGTCAATGCTGAAGCACAAAGAAAGGGAGAGTTTTGTCTCCTGTTATATAACCAATCAGTCAGTAGTGGAATTTTGGAAAGCCTACTGCCCTGCCTTGCTGTGCAGTAATCCTAGACATCTTGGTTGATTTACTCTCAAACAACATGCTAGGAAGTGTTGGCCCTGGTGTCCGGTGGCACTTCTAACTCCAAAGAAAATCAAGCAATGACAACAACCAAAGAGGGGAAAAAATGGTGTGGGAACAGCTGACACTTTTGTCATAAAGTCCTCAAAATGATGTTTAACCACATCCCTATAAGAAACCCACATCTTTACCATAAATTGTGATGCCCTAATGCACAGAAAATTATAAGTAACCATGTTGGAACAAAGGAAATAGTTCCTTGGTCTTATTTCTATGCAAATGATGCAGGTGAAAACATGACAGCCAGAGCCCTGAGGAAAGCAGGCCTACACATTTATGCTCGCTCATGTTGCATTTTGAAAAACAGGAGCAGTGCAGATCAAATTCGTTAATTACATTGTAATAAAGCTTCGAATACAGAAAGTCCATACTGTTTATAAAGCCTGAAAACCTCGCATAATTAGTGCTTTGGAAAAGAGGAAATTGAAACCATAATTGGGTGCCAATTTTGAAAAAATAAAATCAATGAGCTGGGTGTGGTGATACACGCCTGTAATCCTAGCACTCAGGAGGCTGATGCTAGAGCTACGTAGTGAGTTCAAGGCCAGCCTGGACTATACAGCAAGACCTTGTCTCAAAAACAAAACAAGGCAAAACCACTACATACTAAAGCCAGTGGGATACAGCCAACAATGTAAGCATTTTAATTGCTAAATACAATGGAAAAAAAATGAGTTAAGCATTGGAAACTACAAATTGGAAAAATGATAAAAACATTACTCCTTAGAAAAGTTTTGGAGAATAAACAACATAATAATTATTGACCTTGGAAAGACTTGAATGGGGTGTGTCTGGGAGAGACTTGGTTGAGGGTTTTCAGCTTCCAACAGTCTTAGCAGCTGGAGAAACAAGATCTGTGCTGAAAAGGCATTGGTGGGCAAACGTCTCCGTGGTGCCCCACAATGACCACTGTAGTTCACCCCTCACCTTGCTCAGGCTCATGTGCTTCATACAAATACATTCCAGACCAGTTCTCCCGTGGCTACTTTGTGCTTCCTTTCCTGAGGAAGATGGACAAGACTAGAGAAACACACCACACACCTCCCTCTAGAGCTGGGCTTGAGACTTCACTGATAGTCATCATCTCCATCCTCTAGTAGTCACTGTAGCTTTCCTCTCACCCTCAGCTAGTATCTGATGGTCTAGGTGACTTACTTTGTGGATGGACTGGATCCTTCCTTCTGGAAGCATCTGAGCCTCTAGATATCACATGGTTTTCTCAGACAATGGCTGGTGGATATGCTCGTCATTTCTATGGGATAACTAAGTGGATCACCTGCTCCTAGCCGGGGACTAAACACAGCAGGGGTACCGAGCATTAACAGAGCTGACAAAAGCAAGACTGTCCCAAGGAGCAATCTGCAACAGAGCCCTGACAGGCCTGGCTGAGACTTCTTGGCCAGATGTGCTCTGCAGACTGAGGGATTTCCTCCCATTACTTCTTGCTTCCCCCTCTCAGGTGACAGACTTGACTCCTCTACAAAAGTTCATTTACTCCCTCTCCTTGTTCATTTCTCTTTCAAAGACATTTCCCCCAATAAATCTCTTGCTCTTCTAATCCCATCATGGCATCTGTTTTCTAGATGACCTTAACTAACTGCTGACACCAGGGATAATACTAGAAAGCATGCAGTAAGTGTGGGTTCTAAGACTGGATGGCTCACTGGCAAGGAACAACCTACCTTGTGTGGTATGTGGGTACAGACCTTACCTGGCACAATTTGACCGCGACAAAATCCTAAAGATTCCATAGTGGCCACCTGGACAAAATATCCCCATGGAGGAAATCCCGTTGCTGAGTCAGGCATTTGAAGGATGTGGGGAGAACACAGAAAGAGTTTATAAAGAGTAGAGCTGGCCAGCAATTACCAATTTGTATTGATATCAGACACAGAGAGTTAAAAAGAAAAACTGAGGATCATCAACAGAAGTTAAAGTGGGAGTAGGAGAGTTAAAGGGCTTCTTTGGAAACTTGCAAAGAGGATTTTATTTCCCCCAGTGGAAGAGCAGCCTGATGAGATGCAAAGCAAAAGTGTTAGACTTTCAAATTTCTAGAGATGTACTAAACATCTAGCCAGTACATACTAGGCCAAAACGATGGCTTTACTTGTGAAAACCAGGGACTGGCAAACCCTAAATGGAGTAATCTGCATGGGTGTCATCAAGGATTGAGGCTTCGTGACTTCCTTGGAACTTCTGCAGAGCTTGCAGAGGTGTCAACCCTCTCTTATTAAGAGCTAGCATTTCTGCAGTACTGGAATATTCCTGAGAGACATTCATCAAGGGACAAGGTGTTCTGTTTGGAAGCTGTCCATCTTCCTGTCCTGGCAGCTAAGCGAATAAGTAGAGTTAAATCCAGGCATAATAACTAGGGAAGTCCTAGGTCTGATAAAGGAGAAAAGCTATTACCCCCTGGATGAGTTACAAAATTAGCTGGCATACTCCAGAAGTCAGGGGAGGAGTGCTGGGACTTGGTCTTGAGGATGCTCTATTAAGAGGACTGGAACAGCAAATTGAGAATCAGAAATCCATTGACCTGGGAACAATTTCTCAAGACATGAGATTTTAATCCTAGTAAGAAACCTAGAGTGGCTCCTTGAAGCCTAGAGAAAGTGATGACCAACACTGAGTGAAGTAGGAATGCTTGAGTTGCCTTGGCAGATGCTAAAGCCAAGGATTCAAAGGCTGAGGGAAACAGGCGTGTTACAAAGGAGAGGTTAGCTCTGTCTAGTAGGTGAGTCCAGAAGGCTCTCACACACAGAGAATTAGTTTCCAAAAGTGGACCCAAAGTACATGCAATTCCCCAAGGCCATGAGGAATACACTGGTTAGAGAGGCATCAACACCACTACAAAGCTCAGTAGTGGTTCTCCCCTGCAAGCCAGTGCTGACCAAAACAGAGATGTAGACTTGAGTGGTCTTTTGGGCTGGTATAACAAAAATACCATGAACTACGTGGCTTATAAACAACACATGTATTTCTTACAATTTGTAAAAGGGAAGGTCAAAGGTCAAGATACTGGTAGACTTAGTCTGGAGAGGCTTGCTTTCTGGTTTATAGATTTCAGGCTTCTGTGTTCTCAGAGAGCCGAAGGTCCAAGGGAGTACTCCAAAGTCACTTTTATAAGGTCCCCAGTACTGCTCATGAGGCCCCCAACCTCAGGATATAATCACTTTCCAAAGGCCTCCCCTCCTAATACCATCACACAGGGCTAGGGGGAAATGAGTGTTCTGTCTGTAGTAGATGGCTAACAGAAACAGGAGTGATTGTGCCCCAAAGAAATTAAGGCCAAGTAGCAGTGCTAATCACCAGAAGAGAAAGTCTGAGATTATCCTAATCGCAAAGTTGGAAGGGCAACCAGGTGTGTTTGACTCAGGAATTTGTGAACATGGTTGAAAAAGCAGGAAAAATAAAGGAACAGCTCAAAAAATACTACTTCAAATCTACACTCAGAAGGCAAGAATGCAGGAATGTAAAGATAAGGGTGACTCGCCAAATAAAAAAGCCATGATGCTTTGCTCAGTTCTTACACCTGAACAAATTTTCAGAACATTAACTTATGGGCAGAATAAATACCCAGGTCTGTAGCAGGAGGCTTCATGCAACACAGTAGTGAGCACATAGTGTAATTTCATTCCCATTCCTTTCCCAAAGGACTTTCCTGCTATTTCCTCAGGAGACTGTACACTTGAGAAAGAGGACATCGGTCAGAAATTTTAATAGCTATTGAACACAATAGCTTGAACTAACGTTGATATGAGAAGGACAAAGTATCATTAGCTATCTTTGTTAGAGTTGAGGACTTATGGAGACCATGTAATAAATCAAGTCCTGGCTGGAGTGTAGTACCTGTGGGTCCACCAGTTCTGCAGAGTTATCCAGGAGTCATTTTTCCATTCTTGGAGTGAATAATTGGAATTGGTATACATGGAAGTTGGAGTAACTCCCATTCCACTTTGAGTCCTTGATGTATGTTATAAGAGGTATCATAGTGGTATGGCCGAGTGGAAACTTCTAAAAATGCTCTAAGTGAAGACAGTAAATAGAAAGCTACAACATAGGCCAGGTGAGGAGAATTAGTGCTACCTTTAAAGGTCTTAAGGATGTTGTTAAGGCTTGTGTCTAGATGTCTCCCAATGTCTCATGTGGTCATAGGTGGAGCTTTTCAGCGGTGGCTGGATCTAGAGTGTTTGATGCTTGGATTAAGGATGTGGTGCTGGCATTGATTCATGGTGCAATGCTAGGATTAAGGGTGCTCCAAGATGGGGATGGTGGAGCATACCTGTTATCCCAGCAATTGGGAGGCTGAGGCAGGAGGACTGCTGCAAGTTCAAGGTCAGCTAGTGCTACAAAGTGAGTTAAAAGCCCACCTGAACACCCTAGTAAAATCCTGTCTTAAAAAAAGACCAAAAAAGGTGCCCCAATTTAGATGTGAGAGCTACCTGGTGTAAGGGTGGGTAGGATATAAATGACAGAGAGGGGTGCTATTGT